GCAATTAACAATTTCTGCTCATGAAAAAAATTTAGATGGCAGAAAAAAGATGAGAGAAGCAGATCACAAGAATGTTGAAGAAGCATTACTGTAGTGGTTCAGCATTGGAAGAAGCTGTAATCTTCCATTATCTGGACAAATGTCGATGAATTTGCCGTGATTTTGTGAGAATAAATTTATGTGCTCGAATGACAGTTTAACAGGTTTAAAAAGCGGAATAACAGAAATTCAGGAAAAATTATCGGAGAATCGAGAAGTGTTTCCATATCTGATGTTGAGGATTGCTCATCAGCATTGCTAAAGATTACTAATTTTTTTTTTTTGTTCGCAAGACGAAGAGTAATAAATAATAACACATTTTTTACTACTACATAATATTTTTCAGTCATTTATTTGAATAATGTGTAATAAAAGGGAGGAGTTCGGGAACCATTTGTTAAATTGACTGCGTAGCGGACATAGTAAACTCCCGGTTATAGTGAACCGAAATTTCGGTTCCTTGAAGGTTCACTATAGCGGGGTTTGACTGTATATATATAACCGTCTATATATTTTGAACCCAATCTAGAAGCCAATCTGAACCCAATCTCCTGGATCAAGTATAGGGAGAAATTTGCCTTCGTGGAGGACTTTTTGATGGAACTAACCCGCATTTGCGTTACGTGGAGAGGACGACCACGAGTACCTCCCACGGTGAGCCTGACGGTGAAGGGGCTCTAACCCATGATCCATAACATCCTTTTTGAAGTTCTTTATTGTGTTTAAAACGAGACCTTTTTTCATGTTTTCCCCATTTATCAATTGTCTTAATTCAGCAACCTGCCTGAGCTTCACCTGTTCTACTTCTCGCTTTTGGGACATCTTCACTGCCATTTCTGGAAACAAATAGTGCCATACGATCAGCACTTGGTTTGGATCCATGAATGCCAAGCATAACAACAATGATCCATAATTATTTATTGTTTTAAATTAAAATTGGAATTTAAATTTTATAAATTAAGAGCATTTTTATTTCTGGCATTTCCCTCTTATTCTTTATTTTATCTTAAAACTGCTTTTCGAAAGCTCCGTCGTAAAATAAAGTGACGCTTTTTTGAGAATAATATGCTATTTCTATTATTGCTGTTAGTTTGCAACTGTTACTCGTGACAGTTAGGTCAGGTTTAGCATATCTAAAGCCAGGGCTGTCTACGCTTATTTTGAAAAAGGCGAAAAACGTCAAAATGGAGAAAACCGACAGTTTTGTGAAAATGAAAAGCATTTGTGGTCTCATTTTTTATTATTTAAGAATTTACTCCAAAGCTGAATTACTTGGGCTTATAAAAATATGAAGAAAAAAAAAGAATAAGGTAGTGATTTTGATAATTTTCATCTAGGTGGAAAAATGACACCAAATCGGAGACTTTTAAAAAAGTTTAAAAACTTTTAAAATACTTAAGTTATTTGCCTGTTCTAAAATCCAGATAATTGTTCACTTCACAATTATGCATATAGTTTAAAATTATTGCATTGTTTCAAGTTTAAGACTCTTAAACTATGGCTTTTTAATTTTCCTTGGCGACAGGGCTTCAAAAAACAGCATTAATAAGTGTCAGTACTTAAAAATTTTTTTAAGTAAAGAAAGCCTGAATAAAATAAAACAAGCAAATTAAGGTGATGCTAAAACTTGAGCAATAATTGTTTTGAAAAATATTAGTGTTGACATTTTTATAATTAAAAATAGAGGTTCCTAAAAATTTATTATTTGGTATATCATTTGAGATTAAAATAAATCATAATGTTTCCTTTTTTTAAATTGAATTTCATTTTTGAAAAAAATGCAAAATATGATAAAACGGTGGTATATGGTTAAAATTATATGATTTTGTTTGATAAAATTTAAAAACTCATATAGAATGGGAGAAGCAAAATGAAAAATTCTAAAATTGATTTTAGGAATAGAATAGCTAATATATTTTCCTTTCCTTAAAGTTTAAATCTTGGCAAATTTATCATGTTTAGTTCTCATGCAGGACATTTAATCTATTATGCTTTTTATATCCTCTATACATTAATAATGATTTTATTCATCATATTTGTATGTTTATGTGCTTATATATTTATCAGGTATTATATTAACTTACAGATACAGTGTGCTGATCATTTCTAAAAAAAGACCAAATATCAAAAGAAACTTGTTATTATGTTGTGTTAGAAGCCTTAAAATAATTATTACTGACTACAACAGTATTACTGATTACAAATTTGCCCTTCAAAAAAAATTAGGCTAGATTTAATATTTTTTTTCTTCCAAATTTCTAAAAATTGTTCTGAAAATATTTTCGTCTTTGTTCCACAGTCGTATTAATAATAAACCTTAAACAAAATTGAACAAACACCAGATTGAAATTAACATCTTTATTTACGAAATATTGATACATCAAACAACTTTATTTATACAATATTGATAGATTTTAAATTTTAACAATAATCTACAGTTACAAAATGTGTTAACTTATTAAACTGACATAGCCACACACTTTCACCAATAGCAAAAAAGAATGACCATAAGTGTACCAATTAAGTGTTAATAAATCTTTATGAAGAGTAGTGCGAACAGCTATTTAACCCATATACTTTAAACTAATATATATAATACAATAAACACAAAAAAGATAAAAAGGTAAAAACGAATGAAATTAAGAAAAATAATGAGTTTTATAATAAACACTCCTTATTCGTGTGAGCTGATGAAGAGATTATATACATTTTTTTTCTCCGGATTTTGAATCAAATCATAACAACAAGAAGTGCTAACTAAATGTTTTAATATTGATAGAAATTAATCAACAGATATACAAAAATATACACATAAAAGTATCTATATAAATATATCGATATATAAGCTAACAAACTNAAAAAAAAACACATTTATTATTTATCAAAACATTTTGGTTTATAATTAACAATCTTCCTTTCTTTCATGTTTGCCCATTTTACAAATGCTTCTTGAAAGTTAAATGCACTTTCAGGGCCCTCAATATTAATCATTAACAAATTGTTTACATGGTTGATTAACAACCTGTTTCGAATATTAGTTTTAATCAAATTAAGGCAGCTAAAGATGTTAGCGTCATGGTTTTTCGCGGAAGCTTTTTTTTAAATGGAATTTAGTAAAGTCCATTAGCAAAAATGCGAAAATGCTTTGTTGAATTTTAGCATTTTTGAGGGGTCTTTTCGCATTTACCTACCATTTAAGCTACCGTAGCGGAAACCCTGATATATATATATATATATATATATATAATCTCTTCATCAGCTCACACGAATAAGGAGTGTTTATTATAAAACTCATTATTTTTCTTAATTTCATTCGTTTTTACGTAATACCAATGGTCCTTACATAATACCATACGTAAGGAAGCACATCTGCTTGGTTTTCATGGTCGTGCTGCTGCCCATAAGCCTTTGATCGTGAAGTTCCATCACACTGCTCGGTTAAAATGGTGCAAAGCACACCGAAATTGAACCGTAGATCGGTGGGAACCGCTTCTTTGGAGCGACGAATCAAGGTTCACTTCAGGAAAGATTCTTCCGTTCGGATGGCAGGGTCGGGATCTGGCGTATGCCTGGAGAACGTCTCCTGTCAGAATGCATTGTGCCAACAGTCAAGTTCGGTGGAGGTGGAATTATGGTCTGAGGTGTTTCTCCTGGTATGGATTGGGACTCTTGGTTGTCGGGTTACAGTAGGGGGGGAACCATCCCCTCTGCAGAGGATCAAAATTGTGATGGCATGTCTTTGGATCATCCTTAAGAATGTTTCCCAGACTGTCGCCCATTGTGCAGCTCCAGTGCGACGTACAACTACAACAACTTCCACATGAGCTTAAAACTGAAAACATATACTTTCATACGAAATATTATGCAATTCGAAACATTATTCATACGAAATATATGACATTGAAATAAAAATGAGTGAAAAAAAAATTATTAAAGCAATATTTATAGATATTTATTACTGAAGTGAAAACATAATTAATGTTCTAGAGCAGTGGTTCCTGAGCTTTTTTGTCTCGTAGAACCCTTACCATGCTTTTCGGTTTTGGGTAGACTCCCTGCTTACCTTATATTGAATTTTTTGTAAATTCATCAACTTCAAATGTATTTTTGACAGCTGGTATAGTGCTACTTACTGTGAAGGAATTAAATTTCTAACTGTAGTTAAGTGCAGTGTGAAAAAAACACATGTTAGTATTATACATTTATTAATTAAATTCAAACTAATTTTATTACTAATTTGATTTAATTAATATGTAAATGGAATAAAATAGTGCACTATAAAACCCGTACTCCGCTACTAATATTACAATTGCGGAAATAAGTTTGTATACAAAAACCGTAGTAGTGTATTGTCGGTCTGTTTATAACGTTTTCAGGTAAAAACTAAGCAGCAAGTCTCCTTGATCTTGTGCGCAGATAAAATTGGAGGTCCAACTAGCTAAAGAGTAGACACAGGCTAGGCTACAATTTACAGCGGAAAATTGCTTTTTGCTACAAAATAAAACCTTACACGCAGAGAAAATAAAAAAGCACGCGGGTGGAGCTGCAGGCAACTACTAGTTTATAATAATTCAATTTCATATATCACAAATCCTAATAACTTAAATTTAATAAAATTTTTACTTCATAGCTACTTTTATAAATTATGTAGAATGTAGATAGATATGCAAGGAGTGATCAAATTAAAAGGTACAAAACGACGTAAAAACGTAGCAGTTATATATTTGCATATTCCGCCATGGGAGAACGTAGCGAGACATCTCGGGATGCGATTGGAGTCTCTGACAGGGGCGCCCGCATGCGCAGGAGAGAGTAGAGGCTCATATCAAAAGCGGCGTCCAAATGATGAGGCAGTCCGATTGAGAACAGGATAGCTCTCGCATTGCAAAATTCGACGATTGAGGAGCAGCGAGGTGTAATCCGATTTCTAACAGCGGAAGGTGAGAAACCGGCAGCTATTTATGGTGACAGTTTACGGGGGGAAATATGTCTCTAACAAGTCTGTCAGAAAATGGAGTGCCCGTTTTCGTGCAGGACGTGAGAGTGTGGGTGATGACCCGAGACCAGGCCAGGCAAACACTGTCATCACGAGCGATCTCATCAACAAGGTGGACGACCTAGTGAGAAGTGATCGGCGTCTCACACTGCGAATGTTGGCGGTGAAGGTGGATGTCAGCTATGGAACCGTGTGGACAATTGTTCACGACAGGTTGCGATATCGGAAGGTGTGTGCCGCTTGGGTTCCGAAGCAGCTCACCGACCAGCACAAGGAATTGCGTATGGGGCTAGCACTGCAACATCTGTTTCGGTATCAAGAAGACCCCGCTTTCATGGAGCTGATCGTCACAGGTGATGAGACCTGGTGCCATCACTACTTGCCAGAGAGAAAGCGGAACAGCATGCAGTGGAAGCATGCGTCCTCACCTCCCCCTAAAAAGTTCAAAGCCGTGCAGTCAGCAGACAAGGTGTTGCTCACCGTCTTTTTCGATGTTCAAGGCCCGCTACTTGTGGAATTCCTCGAGTACAGAAAAACCATTAACTACAATGCGTACTGTGAGACACTCCGACGCCTACGCAGGTCCATCAAGAACAAAAGACCGGGGCTGCTCAAGGAGGGTGTGGTTCTGCTGCATGATAACGTGCGTCCGCACGTCTCCAGAGTCACACACATGGAACTGGCCAAGTTCAAGTGGGAGACGTTGGACCATCCGCCCTACAGTCCGGACATGTCGCCCTGCGATTTCCATGTGTTTGGTCTATTGAAGAAACACCTGAAAGGGAAGCGCTTTAACTCGGACGTGGTACTCAAGGACGCTGTGAAGGACTGAGTCTCGTCACGGCCACAGGAATTCTGGGAACAAGGAATCCTGCAGCTTATTCATCAGTAGGATCATTGTGCTCTGGCCTATGCTGTATATTTTGAATAAAGTCTACATTTGTACCCACCGTGTCGTTTCATACCTTTTCATTTGATCACCCCTTCTATGTCTTTATATTATAAGGTTGTATAATGTAAGCAAATAGGTACTATTAGTGTATGTTGATTATTCCATTCATGAAATGCCAAAATTAAAAGTCAGGACCTGCTCATGTGAGATCCACTAACGTTGACCCTCATTTTCATTTCATGGACCCCTTGCAAGTTGTCGTCGAAATCTGGGGGTCGATATGAACCACTTTGGGAATCACTGTTCCAGAGGGTCAATAATATCAACACGTAATAATGTAATATTTCTTTTTTTTAAAAAAAAATTGTGGTGTTAATCTTTTTCCTTATTTTCATATTTTTCTAGAAAACGTAGTAAAAAAATTTCTTTTATCAACTTAATATTTAAAATATACACATCAGGCTGGAAAAAATTCAACTCAATGCAGAAAAGATTTTTTTCTCTCTCCATAATTTCATTTAAAAGTAAACATGTTTCATAATTACGTGAACAGTGCATACCTTTATTATCTACCAATTTATCAGGAGATTGTTAGAACATTGAGAGTAAGCTTCATCATTTTACTCTTTATTTAATAAATTTAATGCCATTGAATATATATATAAATATAAAACGAGCTAAGTGCTGGCAAAATTGAGTTATATCGCTTTAAACATGGTAGACAGGTAGATACTTTTATTTGCGTCGCACTGGAGCTGCACAGTGGGCTACTGGCGCGGGTCTGGAAAACATCCTTGAGGATGATCCTACGATATGTCATCGCAATTTTGATCCTTTGAAGAAGGGATGGCTCCCCTGCTTTGGCAGCCCGAGAACCTGCGCGGAAGTCGAGCACTTTACGGTCGAACAGTTTAACGAGGACCAATACCGCCCAACCTCGGTCCCTACGTAGGCTGATCAAATTTTTCACCCACCCGCTTACTGACCGCAGCCAGTGATGCTAGACTTCAGTGTTCTACTGGGAACCATGTCTATACAATCAGTTCACTGTGAGACGCGATGGCTCAGGGGATAGAGCGTTCGCCTTCCAATGAGGTGAACCGGGTTCGAATCCAGCGATAGCTGGTCGATACGAATCCGCATCCGGCTTGCACTGACCACAGTGTTGACGTGAATTATCCTCAGTGGCAGACGGATCATGGGTTAGAATCCCTTTACCGTCTGACTAACCGTGGGAGGTTCTCGTGGTTTTCCTCTCCTTGTAACGCAAATGCGGGTTAGTTCCATCAAAAAAGTCCACCGCGAAGGCAACATTTCTCCCAATACTTGATCCAGGAGTTTCCTTGTCTTCCGGATTGGGTTCAAAATTACAAAGGTACGGAATTGAACATTAGAAATCGTAAAATCAAAAATTGGGTCGGCTGTTCAACGACGGTTATAATATGAAATTTAAAAAAATCAGTCCACTGTGGGACCGCTTTAAATATGGAAAGCTCAAAACAATTCAAGGATATTGTAAATCTTGTATAAATTAAAGGTGATATTGTAAGTCTTGTATAAAATAAAGGTATAGAAGTCACCAATGCAAATTTTTCTTACTTTCGAACTTCGCAGTATACAAATTTTGAGTTTGACGTTCATGACGACGCTTTAGCACCAGCGAATTTGATTTGGTTTTAAACTTAATGTGAGACAAAGCGGATAAAAAATGATCAACATTCAATAAGCGCGTTATTTCGATGAGTGCAATGTCTCAATGAAGTCATTCAACCGAATTAGAAGCTAGGAGAATTGTTGGCCGGTTAAAGGGGGGAGGCAAACACAAGCTGAAGTAGCAGAAGCCATTGAGGTTTCACAAAGTGTGATTCCCTGAATCTGAAATCACTTTTTGGATACTGGAAATGCAGGCCGAAGATAAGTGCTAGGGTGTAGGTGTGCAACAACGTCCAATAAAGACCGTTGTTTAACACTAACGGCTCGAAGACACCGAAATATGAATGCCACTCTTCTTCAACAACGCCTTCACTCGGCTACTGGCACTACAGTTTCGAAACTACTTTCACGCTGTAGATCTGTACGATCGCCAACCAATGGTGTGTGTCACGTTAACAGCACGGCACCATAGCGCCCGCAGGGAGTGTGCAACAGAGCATGTGAACTGGAGGAGAAATGAATAGCGTAATATTCTTTTCTCTGACGAGTCCAGATTATCTGCTCATCCTGATAATAGGCGTATTTTCATCTGAAGAGAACGTGGCTCTAGAAACAATCCAACGTTCGTGCACGAAAGTGTAAGATTTGGAGGTGGTAGAGTAATGGTCTATGCTGGCATCTACATATCATTCGACATGGTGCTCTGATGTAGGGATATGTTCCTGAGACCTATTGTAGTCCCTTACGCTGCAACAATTGGAGATGACTCCATGATAAAGGACGATAATTACAAGCCAAATCGTGCTAAGTTGGTAATGATTTCCTCTTAGACGAAGAAATCATGTGAATGGATTGGCCAGCGTGTTTTCTGGAGATAAACAAAATCAAGCATGTTTGCGACATTCTAAGCAGACGAATTTCTGGACGCCTACCACTCCCACCAGCTCTCCAAGAACTGGAAAGAACTCTTCTGAAGGATTGAGACAGAATACCCCAGCCCATCATTAATAACCTCATTGACTCGTTCAACGTTGCTGATCGTCTGGGAAAATCATACCCCCAGCTAAAAAGGATTCTCCTTTCAAGAAACCACCTTCTTTATCTCTTATGTATAATTTGTGTTTCTTTCCTTTTGTACCCAAATGCTCAATAAAACGCATTTTTTTCTGCCAAACAAATTTCATTTTTATTTCAGATAGCCTACTACGTCTTATGATAATGTATCAATCATTCGAACAATTCTCCAGGTTTCAAGATCAACCCCCAACCTCAATATCCTATAACTGCTTTGAGCAGTGTATATGAGTAAAAACTTTGTTGCTGCCAAAAATTGTCTGAAGAACTATTCAATAAATATCTTAAAGAAGCGCCACTCTTTTCTTTTCTTGGCTTCAGTGCAAAATTTAATGCTTCAGTCAATTTTATTGCTAATGTAAAACTGATATTCATATTCCATAATTTCTCAAGTTTTAAGGCCTGCTTAGACGATCCAAGTTCTTGGTCGAAGAGTGATTGAAATTGATGGAAACTTGTTTTGCTTTGAGCTTGGATCGTATAAACGATCATCCAAGAACTTGGTCCAAGTCCTTGGACGATAGTAGAACATGCTCTACTTCCCATTCAAGTTTTTCTCCCTTAACCAATCACCGTCTTAGGTTTTGTGACGTCAACAAGCAGGCACCAGATAATGTCATTTTATAGTCTGTTTTCACATTTACTAAGGTTTATTTGTGTTATTATGATTTTATTTGAATTTATTTATTAGTTTTAAACTTACGTAAGTATTATTTTATAATGTTGAATATGAACAATGTGCAGGCGTAACTTTTTTCTTCGACCAATCAGTGACATTCAAGAACTTGGTTAGTGTCGACGAATCATCCAATTTCTCGAATTCAAGAACTTGGACCATGTAAACAGGCCTTAAGGATTTTCAAGACTACTGTCAACGCACCTGACTGCAACATAGTATAATTTTTCAAACTCTTCATCTTTGAAATCGCTTATGTTTTTCAGCTTACATCCGCTTGTATAGGAAACCCTATATTATTTTTCATGCATTATCTCTTATCAAAAAAATCAATAAAATTGCAAACATTGTTTGGAACAAAACTAAATTATGCAATATGTCAGTAGCCTCTCACAATGTAAATGATACATACCAGTAAAAATTTTGCTTATTAACTTTTAAAAGAGGCAACTTAAGACATCTTTTCAAAGTCTATGCGAAAAACTTACTTGTATTAACCTTACATTTACCACCATTTGATTATTTGTGCAAAATTTTGCAACTAGACTTATAGAAAACTGTATGAAAAAGGAAAAAAATTCTGTGTTACTTGAGAATTATAGTCACAATTTAAATAAATTATAAAGCGAAAAAGGTAAGGGGATAAAAATTGAAATAGTAAATTGATACCGTATTCATTATTTTCTGTATTGCAACAATCATTAAAAGAAATAACAGATAAAAATCACATCAGGCTGTTCGTACCCCGAAAAAAGAGTATCATTTTCTGTGGTAGAAGGTGATTGTACCACTCTTTTTACTCATGTCTTACTTGAGTTTTAAAAACTTGTTGGAAAAGAATCTTGAGTAATTCATATTTGTAATGTAAATTTTAAGCAAATAAACTGTTTCAATAAATTAGAAAATGATCCCTTCTATAACCATGGGACCATATTTTCAGGATTGCGATTATTACAAAAACGTAGATAAGGGAGTTAAAACGCATGGTAATTACATGTTTTTTCGTTTATTATTGATGATTTTTTTTACAAAATTTTTTTTTCTAAATTCAACAATTTTTTACAAAATTTTAAGTGCAAAATGAAAACTTATAATTCTTGCCACTTCCTTTCTGTTACTTTTCAGTCAAAAAAGCAATAAAACACATCCCTATCTGTATTAATATTCATGCTTCTACAACTCATAGAGCCATCCCGCGCTTGGGAAATATATTCTCAGCTTCTTATAATTACCCCCTATCTTATCTATTGCCTCCGACTTTTTTGTCTCCTTATAACATTTTAAAATTTTTCTATCCCCAGAGCAAATTCCTTGTCCTGTTTAGTCTTAAATTGCCTCAAAGATTTATCTCCAATTTCTAAAGACTGTGGATACATTAACCTTATAAAGAATTTAAAACTATGTTTCTAAAAAAAAAAAATTCTGTTTGGTAACTCGTCCCGCATTCGATCGCTAAGACACGGTTCCCAGCCGATCACCAAAGTCAAGCATCACTGGTTGCGGTCAGTGTGCGGGTGGGTGACCACTTGGATCAGTTTGCGTAGGGACCGAGGGTGTGCGGTATTGGTCTTCGTTAAACTGTTCTACCGTAAAGAGCTCGACCTCGTGTACAGGTTGTCGGGCTACCGAAGCGGTGGTGCCATCCCCTCTGCAGAGGATCAAAATTGTGACATGTCTTCGGATCATCCTCAGGGATGTTTCCCAGACCGTCTCCAATAGCCCATTGTGCAGCTTTAGTGCGACGTAAATGAACTACAACTGTTTGGTAATTCTGTTTAGAATTTCCTCGTATTTAGATACTATAAAAGCACTCTCATCTTCGTATTATTCTATGTAACATTTTACACTTACAATTCAGAATTTTATTTTAGCATAGGGGCCGTTCAAAAAGTACGTACATCCCGAAGGGGGGGGAGGGGATTCGCTATTTTGTACGGTTTTGTACGATGGGGAGGGGGGGAGGTATTATACAAAGTACGTACTTTATAAACATACACCAAATTTAAATTTGACTTTATCCTACACACTCCTTAAGTAAATATTTAATTTTATTTAAAACATAATTATTTTAATTTTTATGAAAAAGGGGGGTAGACTAATAAAATGTACGTACTCCAAGGGGGGGGAGTAAGACCTTATGTACGGTAATGTACGAAGGGGGGGAGGGGTTTAAAATTTCTCCATTTTTGTGTACGTACTTTTTGAACGGCCCCATAAAAGCTCTTTTTAAAAATAAAACTATTTCATTTAATTAAGTATTTTTACAGAAAATACTCGTCTAATCATCCGCTTTGCCATTTATTCGCAATAAATTTTATCAACATTTTATAATTTTATTTATCTTTCTTTGAATAAATCGGATATTAAGAACATTTCAAACATATTCATTTCTTTAGATTCATTTGAATTAAATCAATCTGCTCATTTATATATCTGCAATATTTATAACAATAAATTGATTTATTCTGTAAATTGGTCCGATTTTTGTTCTTAGTTTATATTTACAAAGTTAGAATTTAAATTTGTTAATCAAAAATTTCAACGATTTTGTTTTAATTCAAAAATGAAATATTTACATAACATTTTATCAAATTGTAAAACATTAACAAAGTTACATTAATAAATAACTGAGAATGTGTCAACATTCAAATTATTGTAGGATAAATAAGTAGCTGAAAATCAAACTATTATTTAACCGGTAAAAATAATTGTCTTGGTCATTCTGAGAGAATTTCTACCATCAGTTCTTTTGGATGATTATTATATTTACCTTGCTATAATGACATTTACCTACAATAATTAAAAACTTTGAACGTAATACTTTTATTGCATGCAGATAGAATTCTTTTTAACAAACAATAGAAAATAACGATTATTTGTCCTAGAAATATTATTTACTATGAAAAATTTGAATAAACTTATACTTTAAACAATATGAAGATAAAATGACGAAGAAAACTTTCTAATACAAAGGTCATTAGATAATATTAGTTTAAGAAGAATATTTAATCTGCAATAAAAAAAATCCATTATAGAAACAAATTTATTATTCATATATTTAAATGATTGCAACTATCTGTTTCTGAAACAAAAGAAAAAAATTGCATTAAGAATATGCTTGTTTAGTTATTTTTTTACATTTGAAACGATTAACTGCTTTTCTTTATAAATATTTACGTAGGTTTTTTATATTTATTTCCGTGAATGACTGAAATCTGAAAAATTACAACTTGCACTGGTAAAAGCCAATAATCACATAATCGCTTTGGTTAATATCCTAAGTATTTGTTATAGCTGATTTAATATTAATACATTGGTTAATATTAACCGGGAAGAGGCACACTTGACCTTAAAAATGTGTAAAAAATACCGGGCACGTGACATTAGCAAATTAATATCAAATCACATCTATCATATATTTCGGACATTTACCGAAACATGGACATGTGATTGTTGAAATTCATCAAAGTGACATTAGGTCTAACCCCCCTCCCCCATTCTTCTCTACTCGCAAATGCCCAATGACTTTCGCATGCATCACAAAAGCACAATATTTTTCATTTTAAAGTAAGTCAAATATTTGTATTAATTGATGAAAAAACAATAAAAATTTGCCTCAATTAAAGAAATAATTAAAATTTGCATAGTTTGCAAAAGCATACTTGAATAAAAAAAAATGATGAAAACCTCTTTAATACTAATATGATAATTTCCAAAAAAGTATAATATGAAATAATTAACTTCAAAAAAATGAAATATGTATTTATTCCATATCTTTATTTCTCTAACTAGGGGCTCGCCGTAATCTGCTTGGTTTTGCTCGCTAATCTCTGGAATTGCTTACATTCAGTTCATTTCAAATATAGCTTCAAGATCTGCTTTGCTTGCTTTTTCCGTCTTGTTAGAATGTCTGATAAACTTAATGCTAATTATATTCGGTCACTATCGTTCATCAATCCTCGAAAGATCGATAATTATCAAAATTTGTATGTATGAACGTTAGATATTTTTTAATTTTGTGCATTTTACTTCGGAGATTTAGTAGCTCGCCTTCTGATCATTAATGTATGAAACAGTTAGTAGCAGACTTAAAACCGGGCTTAGAGCAAAAGAAATAAATTAATGAGCATCAATAAAACTCAAATAATTCATTTCTTAAAAAAATAATTTTAAAAAAAACTACACAGCGACAGAAACCCTTCACTAACATAAACAATTTTAAGTATATAAAAAAGGGAGTTCAAATAAACCTAAAATAAACAATGTAGTTTCAAATGCTAAAAAATAAAAAATGATAACATATAGAAGAAGTAATTTGTTTTCATTTTGAAATACTTCTTCAGCATTTAAAGATTCGTCGTTTACCTGACCTCGCTTTTTTTTACTTTAAAATATCAATGGAAGTGAAGCAGAATTTGCCACGAAAAGTTTCTCCTGCACTATAGTGTCTTCTTAATTTAAAACAAAACGTTGATTTTTCTTCAACCCATTTTACATTATTTTTTACTGTTCAGTTTTTTGTAAACTAGTTTATTTATTTATTATTATTTTTTTCTTTCAAATTTCTTCTTGTTACTCGTACTTTTTATTTATTTCTTTTTACATCGTTAAAGTTCTTACACTTATCAAGTAGTAAAATCTTCTAGGGCAGAAAGTGATTGCACCACTCCTTTGCTCATGTCTAATAAAATACTACATAGATGTCATTAGTCTAATTTTCTCATTGACTGCATTAACGAACTCTTGTTGCATCCTGGCATTTTGCTTGCCCTGGATCTTGGCAAATCTGACGTTGATGTCAGTAATTAACGAAAACTTTTACACAAATTGTTTACAGCCACTCATATAAACTATAGTTAATCAGTTAAAATTAATAATCTCAATAACAAAGAGGTTTACAAGTCCTAACTTTTTTTAAGCGGGGAAAAATGGACATGTTTTGAGCACTTAAAATTTAGCTCTCACTCTCAAAACTTCAACAGGTGGTATCCTGAGAATGAGTGCTTATTTTTTCATAAAAATTTGTTTTGAAGATGATGACAGAAAAAACATATAGTTTTTGAGAAAACCTATAAGTTAGACAATTTATTTGATTTGCTACTGGAAAAAGTGCTCTATTGTACTTAATATTTTTTTCCACGTAACGCTTGGACAGTAGAACATTTTTTTAAACAAATACAAATAATTTTATTTGTAGAAGTTTCAAAAAATAAAATCAATTAGTAATTAATATTAAACTAATCTGATTTTAATAATTTCCTTTTTTTTTTCAAATTTTAAGAGTTATTTTTGCTGGGTACACTTTGAATTGAAAGCTTGTGTAACCTTACCCTCTTGAATCACACAACTATATTCACAACTAAAAATCTAAAATGAACTAAATATCTGTATTTATGGAACTGTAATAATTGTTGCTCATAAAAACTTTCCTAGCTTTTGCAATCACAAATCCTCTTATAAAACATGCGAATATTTAATTTTCATACCAAAACATTTGAAAAATTAAAGAAAAAATAAAATGTAAGCTAATAGATCATAAAATCCTTGAGTAACAGAATTAATAGTTAAATAACTTTTTATTCGCATACTTTCCCACTTAGAATATTTTTGTGACTACTGAAATCAACTAGTAGTAAAAAATTCTAAAACAATTTAATGAGTATGATTTTTTATAAATTCATATGAACATATAATAGAACTTAAAACAAGTCAATACCTTAATATTAAATTTAATAGCACTTTTAATTAGAACACAATAGAAGAGTGAAAGACTGCAAAAATTAAAAAACTGCAGTCAATAATTGTGACACTACATTAACCTAGGTAATGAAAACAATATTCATAAATTCAAATATAACACATTCAAACATAACATTTATTCATATCTAGTGAATTACATGATCAAGGCCCATATAGTTTGTCCATGGAAAGAACTCTCTTACCATTAATCTGGAACTGTGTCGGTGATTATAGTTACAAAGTTTAACAATTTCAAGTAAAGGTGTTAAGAAAATATTTTAGATTAGTTTTGGCCCGAGTCTGCTAGAGAAACGGAGTCAAGAGAGACAAAGGGAAGTCCCCCTCTTAGAAATGCAGTATTTCTCGTTTCGATAGTAACAGCTTATCTTAGGAGTAGAGACAAGGAGTTCTTTCTATAGACAAACTATATACTTGCAGACTTATAAGCAAATATATGGAATATGAGAAATTAACTTTATGACAACTAACTTCACTTTTCATATTGAAAACAAACAAAATATAGAATCAAAACCCTTTTATTTTTTACAATTTGAAGTAACTTGTAATAACAAACCTTTGTACAGTGAGCAGAAAAAAACAGACCACTCAGAATAACTTTTGATCTAATGATCAGATCGTCATATTCTCGAGGGGGTGACCTCAAATATAAAAATTAATAAGTGAAGACGATATTTTAAGTTATGAAATCAAGCACAAAAACGCACTTTCTCTGAACAAACATACCTTTTTTTGTCAGATTTTTGGATTTCTGACCCCCAAAATATAGGGGGTAGCTGCATTCTGGGAAATATGGTACAGGTAGTTTGATCAGAAGAGCGCTCCAAAGTTTGGACCCCTTAATGTTAATTTTACTTTATGCGTATTTCGCTATATCTTGAGAATATTTTAAACAAATTGAAAAAGTTTTACAGAAAATTATGAAATTCGTTTAAGAAGAGATAATTTCAATTTTTTTTGCCATTATTAAATAAAATAATAAAAATATAATGAATATTTACTAAAAGTTATTTTTTGCAAAAAATTCTTGGGATACACAAATTTCTATTGTGCAAAAAATTTTCAAATTGCTTAAAAAGTTCTCGAGATATAGCAAACACGCAAAAAGTATAATGAACACTAAGAGGTCTAAACTTTGGAGCTATTTCTTGAACATTCTATTGGGATAATATTTCCCAGATTGCGGCTACCTCTTATATTTAAGGGGTAAGAAATCCGAATTCGTCCAAAAAAAGGTACATTTATTCTGATTATACCGATGATATTATTTTGTGTCTGATTTTGTAACTTAAAATAGCGAATATAATTATATTTGAGGTCATCTTCTCGAGCCATTAAGAATGATTCCTAGAGCCTGACAATCGGATCATTAAATCAAAGTTATTCAGGGTGGTTCTTTTTTTGGCGCACTGTACATGGCTCGGAATCTTGAAATATAACAAACATTATCATTATCAATGTGTTTCATGAATGGATTACGGATGTTAAGCGTAATATGAGTAAACTGATGAATTTTAATTATTTTTCTTATATTTTTACATTAATAAATCAAAAACCTTAAATTTTCTCTGCACTTTAAATCAATCATCATTTTTTTTATAAATACATCACTATGCTGAGGAAAAGTTTTAAAAGCATACTTAGAGGGAATAAGATCCCTCAATTCCTGGCCAAAATAATCTAAAAACATTTTAACAGCATCAGAAGAAACTGAATTGCAGGTAAAAGGCAAAGCTCTTCTTTCTTTCACAGATACTAGATTCTTTACATATTTATGAGTAAGCGCAGCACAGGCATTGAGTAATTCTTGTTTTATTAAAGAAGCAAATTTATTTTCAGATGGTATTATAGTATCAAACCTCTTTTTAGATATTTCACTTTTATCTTGAGTAGCATTGCATGATTGAGGTATTTGTTTATATAATGTAAGCTCCTGTACTCCTGGTTCTGAATGGAATGTTCTTCTTCTTCTTCTGTGCTTTCCTCTTCTTGAGCCTAATGTGTCTGCTTGTTTTGAAGTTGAAGGTTGACAATAAATTCCCCTAATATCTACAATTGAGCCAAATGTGTCGGCTTCTTTTGAAGTTGAAGGTATACAATCAATTTCCATATTTTCAATTGAGTTTAATGTGTTGGCTTCTTTTGAAGTTGAAGGTATACAATCAATTTCCATATTTTCAATTAAGTTTAATGTGTTGGCTTCTTTTGAAGTTGAAGGTCTACAATAAATTTCCATAATATCTTCAATTGAGCCAAATGTGTCGGCTTCTTTTGAAGTTGAAGGTATACAATCAATTTCCATATCTTCAATTGAGTCTAATGTGTTGGCTTCTTTTGAAGTTGAAGGTCTACAACCAATTTTCGGCATATTTTCAAAATTAGGAGCAGATTGAATTTCAGGTATTAGTTGAGAATAGGGGGGAGTTTTTCTTTCAGTAATAGATTCAGATAGAGTAAAATGAATAACTTTAGTTTCAGAATGAATAACTTTTACTTCAGAACTGAGTTCCGATGGAGTGGGTGAAAATAATTCAAAACTATTAACTATTTTGCATTCTTTTACTGGGAAGATTTTAAATCTCTTTTTGTTAAAACGTTTTACAGACCTTAACCTCATAACGATGGATGGAAATATTTCGGGAATTACATCAATTTCAACCAATGGGCCCATAGCCCGAATGGCGCACAAAGCTCCAAACAGAGCGCAAAATTTGCTTCTTTTATTCAGTAAAATTTTTTTCAAGTACGAAATAACATTTTGTTTCTCTTTAGGAAAATACTTTGAAATTATTTTACAATAAAACTTGGCTGCTTTTCTTCGAAGCATATAGGTTATTCGGTTTACGTCATTATTGTGATACACTTCAACCATAGTAAACATTAAGAAATTTTTCAGGTTTTCCAAATATGGTAAAGAGTAACTACAATCTAAGGTTACAGAAAATATTACCTTGCAAAGTTTTAAAAACTTGCATAACATTAAACAATTACTTCTCGGGTAATTTGAGAACACAATTAGTGACAAAAATGGATGAAATCTGTTAAATAATGACATATTTCTCTTCAGATGTTTTACAACTGCTTTGAACAAACTATCACAAGCAAGTGAATCAGTCATAATAGATTTTAAGAAAAATAAAAAGTAATCATCACAAGAACTAATAATTTCTTCAAGAAAAATGTTCAAATCAGTGTTTGCAACTTCCCCACCCTCAATGTGATCCTTGCAGACATCAAGCTATAAAAGAAAAAAGAATTGTTAGTAAATGTTTTCTAATATTAAAGGCAAAAAAAAAATTTTCAGATTTGCTTTAATTTAGAATTCAGATAAACTTTAACTGAAACAATAAACTTTCAAACAACTCGATAGCATATTGAGAGAGTTTAATTTGTAATTGTGGTAGTGTAGTATGAATATACACCAGAATTTTGTTTAGATCATCATTAATAAAATCTTAGTGTAGCTCTGGTGTAACATCAAGAATATAACCAGATCATTAAGCCAATTTTGTTTCTAAGTGCAAGAACATCAAAAGGTTATTTTGTTGTCATAGTACCATCAATTTTTACATTAAGGCTCTAAAATAAAAATAAGCATTCTGAAAAATAAAAATAATAAACATTCTTCTTTCTAATCTACTCTATCATTTTCCTTTTGTCTGTGAGAAGGGATTTCTCCTTGAGTCAAAATCAGAAGGGTGGTGGAATGGGCAAAAGGTGATCAAAGAAAGTATGGAAGCTTAAATAGTAAAATTTGGGAGAGGAATTTTTTCCAGCCAACTTAATCTTAATTTTACTTTTTGCATGTTTTACAATATCTCAAGAACTTTTTAAATAAATTGAAAATTTTTTACACACAATTATAAATTTCGTTTATCCAAAGATTCCATGCAAAAAATAACTTATAGCAAATATTTTTTATTTTTTATCTTATATAAGAACGGTAAAAAAAAAAATTGAATTGTAAGGTATACAATTTCTCGTATCATTTTGAAGAATGTAATTCCATGTGGCAAAATACAAAATTTGAAGAAAACTAGTCAAATAGCTCCTGAGAAATCAAATTTTAAGTATCTGACTGTTTTGAAATTCAATCTCTCAGGAACATTTCTACCAATTTCGCTCAAATTTTGTATTTTGCCATGTAAAATTACTGTCTTTGGTATGATGCAAAAAATTTTAAACCTTACAATTCAAAATTCTTTTGATCTTCTTAAATAAAATTATAAAAAATAATAAATATTTTTTGCATGGAATTTGGATAAACAAATTTTATAACTTAAAATATCATCTGTACTGATAAATTAAATAGCATTTTTGAGGTCACCCCCTCGAGCCATTAAGATTGAGTCCTAGAGCGTGAAGATCTAACCATTAGATCAAAAGTTATTCAGGGTGGTCGGTTGTTTATTTTGCGCACTGTACATAAAATTATTGATACATGAATAATTTCATTGTGATTCACAATAGTTATCAAGAATATTAATAAAAAAATAATTAAGATAAAGACACTAAAAACAGCAAAGAATATGTTTTTAGTAAATTAAAGAAAGAAAAGCAACAATTTTCTGCAATAAATACAACAACGTAATACAAAATTTCACCTTTTCTAAAACATAATAAAAAAAATTTCTGAAAAAACAGCCTATTTTATAACCAGACAGAAAAATTTAAATAGTTTAAAAATGAATTTTTAAAACAAAATTTTAAGTTTTTACTGAATATCACTAAGTTCTATTATTTACAATATATGCTAATGCAAGATATGTATCTCAATACATCATTTGATCAGGTTTTCTGTATCATTTGTGACAGTTAATGTATTAGTATAAACCATTTAGAAATCTAAGAACTCGTTAGGAGCATAGAAAAATGCTATCCCAGCAAAAACAAAATTTTAGACAAAACAGCAATAAAAAAATAATAATAAATAAAATAATGTTTTTAATAAACAATTAGTATACACTAATGGTTCTTCAAAAAAGTGCAATACGGTTATGTAGCTAGGCTTTTTTTTAAAAAAAAGCCAAAACTGAACAATTGTAAGCAGGGTCAAAACATTTTTAGACCATAACATTTTTATAAAAATAAAATTTTGATATCATTTAGTTTTTAATAACATTTCTCAATTATTAATACTAACATATAAAATATAAAAAGTATTGAGAAATAGCAAACTACTGAGTTTTGCAATACTAAAAAGTACTTAAAAGCTCACTTCATGAAATATTTTATCTATCTTATAGGTACAAAATATCAATTTAACTTTAAATTGTCAAACAAATATTTAATACTGCTTAGAATAGAATATTGCTTCGAATAAAAAGTAAGCACAGGTTCAGTCCTTTTTCAACAATAGAACCAACAGCTTGAAACAAGTTTGATAACTGTTAATGAACATGGCAAGATGAGAATTACTGGTACAAATGCTGATCTTGCAAAACAATGAAATTAGTCTTTTTGACTGATACATGTCCTGTACCGGCAGTAAGCAAAGGGTTAAACATTCAAAAGACAACTTTGACAGTTAATTTAGTCATGCTTCTAAAGAAGTAAATAGTTCATTTACTAAACAGCAAATCAATAAAAAAGTTTGAAAATGAAAAAATTTATTAAAAAAATGTACTTACAGCAGATTCATAAGCTTTTTTCATTGCAACATTAAACATCTGGAAAAAATTTTATGTTTTTAGAAAATATTTTAAGACACAAATGTATCAACAATGAAATATTTCTTAATATAATAATAAACCTGTACATAATTTATTTTTATTTATTCTTTAAATACAACCACCGTAAATATTTAGTTAGTTTTATCTTCTTTTTTTATTTCCTTCATTATAATTAATTCAAGGCATTTTTACATATTACAAGATATTTGATAAAAGAACATGAAATATAACTGCAAATATGAACTATTGCTTATCAAACTGTTGTAATTTTATGAATTTTACAAAGAACTCCAAATGGGACTTAATCAAAATGCCATGATAGTGAATTAGAATACTAATTTTTTTGAGTGGAAGTACATCATTTTTTTTATGTAGTTTGTACATGTTTTTAATTTTATGATTTTAACATTAGCATTAACATTAAACTAATTAACTTAATTGTTTTAAAAACTCGCACAAAAAATTTTAGAACTTTTCTGCTTTTTAGTTTTTACTTATTTAAAAATGATACATTCAAACAGCTTAAAAATTAATACTATTTAAACTAGATAGTAATTTTAAACTGTTTAAAACAACTCTTTAATTATTTAATATTTCTTATTGAAAAAGAGCTTCTTGCGCTGGAGTTGGTAATCTATTTCTTCCAGAGTGATTGTTTTAATGGTTTCTTCCACTGTGGAAGAAACTTGCCATTTCTGATGTTAAACAAAATTAGCAAATTTAATAAAATAGATGAACCATGTTTTGCAGTTCTTAATTAGTTAAATAGTGTTATTATTGAAAGAGTTTAAGTTTCTGAAAGTTTATTTTTGCTTTCTTGTTAAATACTTTATGTTTGTTACAGTCAAAAATTTAAATGGGAATTAGGCATTTATTAAATTTTATTCTTTCAGTTTAATTTTAGAATTATTTTTTTGCAGGGATGAGAGTAGTCAGAAAGAAAAAAGAGCAGGAAATTCAAGAACATATATATATTCTCTTTTTGTTAAAACGTTTTACAGACCTTAACCTCATAACGATGGATGGAAATATTTCGGGAATTACATCAATTTCAACCAATGGGCCCATAGCCCGAAT